TGATTAATATTAATGGCTTTAGCATCAGCAGCCTTTTCAATTTCAGTAGCCATTGTTTGAATATCTTTAACATTGCTATCTTCCTTTCCATCATCATCACCATCACTATTTTGTGTTAGATCGATAAAATTTAATTCATTCTCTATATTTGAATTATTTTTATTCATAATGCCACAACTGCCATTATTGTTGCTGCTACTAACAACACCTTCCATATCATCATCTTCATTATCTTTTCTTTTGGTATTAAACAAAAATGAAATTAAAAAACAATACTCATTTACACTATAGATCAAAACCTTTCATATAAATAAAACTAGAGTGACAACAGATGGTGGGCGATAACCACCACCACCACCCTTAAAACACTTACCTACTTCCCCCAGCTCGAACGTCAACTCTGGTTCTTTTCTTAGATTCTTTACATTGTGACATTTTAAAAAATAAAAAATAAAGAAAAGTTTGTGATACGATCGATGCGTACATGTTAATTATTTATCCTATTGGTTTTTTTTTTGGTGGGACAGACGCGAATTGATTTTTTTTTCTTTCTTGGAAAAACAATTTATTTTTTGACAGAGTCCAAGGTGACAAAATGTGATGTTGCTCAGTTCTCCTAAAGAAAAGGTGTTAATAACTAACCAGAGGTACTATTTTTTGTATTGATTGATATTTTTATTTTGGTTTATAAACATTTTAATTGGAAATCAAAACGCAGAGCAGATCATTGCTGGGTAATTACAAGATTTTCATTGCTTTTCATAATCCATATTATTATATTATTATTATATAATTAGATGTCAAGGCAGCATTGACTGTTGAAAAAGAAACATTTCAAGTGTGTGACATTTGATTACAGGAAAATGGCAGATGTTGAAGCATGCACGCTACCTTGAACACTTTACAGTCATTCACACACGTTCCTCATGTATATAAGGCTAATCTGACCAAGTTTCGCTCAATGATACAATGATGCTACTAAACTCCAGGGGAGGGGCCCATGGCCCTGGAGTTTACCAAGACTGCATCAATCATCAATGACGCTTTCACTAATCTTCCCAGACCAGAGATGGCCACTGGCACACTGGCCGAAAATTCGCCTGCAATGATCCCACCTCTAGGGTAAGGATAGCACTGTGACCAAGTCGCAACTCTGCTGATGAATTGAGTGCCATGTAAATATCTAGATCCATCAAAGCAACGAGAACCTGCAACTTGTTCCAAGCACAGGAGGTTACAATTCAGAGCAGGGTTGGTGGCCCTGAAATTGCATTTGGACCCTGATATTAAGAGGAAAGTTGTAAAATAGTGTTTG